TTAATCAAGGAGAGAAAAAGATTAAATATACACTCATCTATAGGTACACAGTTTTTGTCCTCCCTGGGAACCCAAATGGAAGGAATTTTAATGTTGTTGCTATTTAAACAAAAGGAGAAAAAGCTCAGCATCTGAATGCAGCTCTGGCTTTAAAGGCCAGCGGGAGACCCGGCTCGGCCAGGCTGCCTCCTCCTGAAACGGCGCGGAAAGGCAAAAGGTCGTGGAAAGTATTAACGCATAGGAAGTCACCGTGGCCCTGGACGGTTCGGCTCGGGCATGGGCTCCTGCCTCCCACCTTGGACATGGCAGCTTGGTGCTCGGGGAGTCCTGCCATCCCGCATTCCTGGAAGAAGGGACTTGCCTGATGCCAGGGTTCACCAACCTGCTTTTCCCTTCCTGTGTCTCCCTTCTTTCCAAACCCTCCCCTCAGAAAGGACCCCTAGCAAAGGACACAAGCCAAAAAAAAAAAAAAAAGATGCTTGCATTTTCCAAGTTTGCTTAAATTGGATGGAGAAGAAAAATCTAGATGGCTTTAGCAAATGTTGGCCAATGTCAGAAGCCTTTCCTCTAGACCAGCGGTTCTCAACCTGTGGGTCTCGACCCCTTTGGGGGTTGAACGACCCTTTCACAGGGGTCGCCTAAGACCATCGGAAAACACATATATAATTACATATTGTTTTTGTGATTAATCACTATGCCTTCATTATCTTCAATTTGTAACAATGAAAATACATCCTGCATATCAGATATTTACATTACGATTCATAACAGTAGCAAAATTACAGTTATGAAGTAGCAACGAAAATAATTTTATGGTTGGGGTTCACCACAACATGAGGAACTGTATTAAAGGGTCGCGGCATTAGGAAGGTTGAGAACCACTGCTCTAGACTCTCTCCTCAGCATCAACTTTGCACGCCTGAAGAGGACTGGGAAGCAAGAATGAAGGGTCGGGAGGTGCAAACCTTCAGGGTAATAACAAGGTTTTGTGTTAAAGGGGGGACTGCCAGTTACCCCAATGCCCTAGAATGGGGTGATGGATCATTGGCTGGGGAATGCCCCAGGGTGTGGGCCTCGGGTGGGGCCTCTGTCCCTCCAGGGCTGAGTCAAGGCTCCAACTCTGGATCAGGGTCACTCTGACTTAGAAAGACCATAAAAAATCATCTCACTTTGACGTTGCCATTCTCGCTCTAGCAGCACTTTAAGCCAGAGCTCTTAACTTGGTTTGTGGGGATTCGTTCCTTTGTTGCTGGACACCTGGAAGGCCATGTATTTTTCCTTTCAGGGAGGTATCGCCATTCAGGGGGGAAATGCCGCTCTCATGGTCTCCCCAAGGGAGTGCCAGTGGTTGAAGGCCTCCACCTCCACTGCCAGGTCTGTAGCCCCTGAGCTATAACAGTAACCACAAAACAATGGCTGTAATAGCAAAGACAGTATTTATTTATATTGTGGCTATGTAACTCCGGTTTTGAATACATTCTGTAAGGGAAACAAGGGCGTAAGAATAGCAGAACAATAAATGAAAAGGAACAGAATAAGAAGTTGATGTAAATAAAGTCAGTTCCAACTCGAGAGAGGGGTGCAGTACTGGGCAGGCGGTAAATCATTTATTCATCCCCAGTGTTTCTTGAGAAGCCGGAGTGCTCCTGGCAAGAACATGACCCATTTTTGGTTCCACACCATAAAGGTGGCGACGTGATCTGATTATGCTTCGGCAATATTTAAAAATGCTCTAGTACAAAGTAATGTAGTATTACTTAATTTTGAATGTAAGCAAATATGTTTATTGGTAATGAAGAAACCCCTTCTCCAGTCTGCCCTGGAGCCGTCTCCAACACAAACTGCTTTTTTAAAAATGTTAGGTCTTTTTATGGA